TATATATATATAGACATGGTTGTATTACAATATGGACATCTTAATTTTAAATCCTGATCTTCAAAGAAAGAATAAGAAAATGACTTTAAAATACCGTACTCTCTGTCTCAAATGTTTGCTATGGATGTAACGTCTTGAAACATTCAAATGGTGCAATGAAGTAAACAGGCCTACCTCACTTGGCCGTGACTTTCTGATACATTCATGTAGTGTTGTGATGACTTTTATCATCTCTCAGCCATTGATATCTAAGGTACCGTATATCGATGCAATCAAATTGTACACGTGGTGCAAAATGTGCGTGTCTCTAGTTTGAATAGGCCAACCATTGGTTGATTACTATTGGTATATGAATAATAACTCTTACAATAATTATAACAGTGCTCTAATATTGTGTAACATACAAATGCTGGAGTGTAGAAGAAAAAAAATATATTATTCTTGATTTATATTTGAACCGTAATACCTCGAATTGAAGCCCAGTGGGTTTAATCTCGAGATGAAACCCATTTCGAATTGAAGCCCCCTCTTTAGTTTGCAAAATAAGCTTCGAAAAGAAGCCCATCTCGAAAAGAAGCTATGAGCCATGGAATCCATGGGCTTCTTTTCGAGATAGCATAGGTAGGCTTCTTTTCAAGATAGTACAGTACACTGTGTATGAATTTTTGAAAACAATTTCTTTGCAAAAGTAATCACGAAAAGAAGCTTATCTCGAAAAGAAGCCCATCCAAAGTTCGCAAAGAAAAGAATAAGCCCAGGACTTCAATTCAAGGTTTTATACGGTATGCCGTACATAAATTGTGATTTGTTATTAGCAAAATGTTCAGAGCTGACCGAAGAGATCCCCATTGCCCTGATCGCCGGTGGGCGAGTGTGTGTGTTATGAGGGATATTTTTTAGAGTGTGACTTTACAGGGCATCTCTTACCGGTATTACTGTACTGTATTCACAAAAGAGATAATAGAGGCATGTGCCCCGATACATAATACAAGAGTGGGAATACTTGGACTGGACACAGAAGAAAGTAGAATGATTCAAAATAAGTACCAAATCATAATTTCGAGGCCTATTTTAATTCATATAAATAAGACAAATGTATAGGTCTATTGCGAAAATGATAAACTGTTCAAAATTTAATTTCTAATCAGTGCCCAAAATAGGTGGATTGAGTTTTTTATTTCCTCATTAATAAGTAAAGTAGGAACACAAATACATAATACAATGAATAACAGTGACTGACTATATATTTACACAACATGCAGGGTATTAACCCTTACCATTATCGACATAAGGGAAATATTAACATTATGCAATTAAATATAACATATGTTATGGATACTCAGGATGCAATATGTTATGCATTATTGGAAGTAAGCCTACAGAATAATGAATACCGATTTTTTTTCACTTGCTTGCCAAATTCAGCCTAAAGCCATAAAGTATTTGTCATACTCTAGATGAGCTGTACAGTACAGTACAATCACTTGAATTATTAAAGATTTTTTAATTAAGTGTCGTGTTTGTTTCTGCTAGGTCTTATACCGATTACTTCTTAATTCTAATCAGTTTTTATGGCAGACAGCAGGCCCGTAGCCAGGTCA